CGCCGTCCCTGCGCCCCCCCGTCCCTGCGCCCCCCCGTCCCTGTGCCCCCCGTCCCTGTGCCCCCCTTCCCACACCTCCGTGTCACCCCAGCTGCCCCGTGGTGGCAGCAGCACGTGCTGCTTGGGGTCCCATGGGGCCGTGAGGGGGCACTGGGGGGGTTTGGGCGCTGGCTCTGAGCCCCACGTGCTCCACAGACGGTGTACGATCAGTACTTCATCACGCTGTACAACATCGTCTACACCTCGCTGCCTGTGCTGGCCATGGGGGTCTTTGATCAGGTAGGGTGATCCTGGGGGGGGTCTCTGGGTGCCGTCCTTGTCCCTCTGCTGGCGCTGTCAGGCCGGCTCAGCCCCGGCACACGGCACTGAAGGAGGTGCCAGCGTGCCACGTGCCCCCAGGACGTGCCGGAGCAGCGGAGCATGGAATACCCCAAGCTGTACGAGCCCGGCCAGCTCAACCTGCTCTTCAACAAGCGTGAGTTCTTCATCTGCATCGCCCAGGGCATCTACACCTCCGTGCTCATGTTCTTCATCCCCTACGGCGTCTTCGCCGACGCCACGCGTGACGACGGGGCGCAGCTGGCCGACTATCAGTCCTTCGCCGTCACCGTCGCCACCTCCCTCGTCATCGTCGTCAGTGTGCAGGTTGGGTCTGTCCCCCCCCTCAGCCCACCAGTCAGAGCCCCCCGTGGCCACCCCCTGACTCTGCCTCCTCCTCCTCTTCCTCCCCCAGATCGGCTTGGATACGGGTTTCTGGACGGCCATCAACCACTTCTTCATCTGGGGCAGCCTGGCCGCCTACTTCGCCATTCTCTTCGCCATGCACAGCGACGGCCTCTTCCAGATGTTCCCCAATCAGTTCCGCTTCGTGGGTGAGCGCTCCTCCCTGCTCAGCGCCCCCCACACGCTGCTCTGTGCGGCCCTGGGGCTGAAAGCTGCCTCACGACCCCCCCCCTTCCTCCTCCCTCCCCCAGGCAACGCACAGAACACGTTGGCGCAGCCCACGGTCTGGCTGACCATCGCTCTCACCACCGTGGTGTGCATCATGCCCGTCGTGGCCTTCCGCTTCCTCAAGCTGG